GGGTCTTCTGCAAAATATAGATCCCAGGGCACCGAAGGGTGGGGCTCTAACTCTCAGCCCATGGAAGGAAGGGTCACAGTGTTTATTTCTGTTAGCACTACTTGCATTTTGGGTCTTATTTACAAGTTACTTACAAGGTAACAGGCTTTTATTTAAATCCATGTAAATTGCATTATTACATGGGGCTCTGTGGGTATCCCTTCTTTTAAACAAAATAGTGTGTTGGAGTAAGGTTGCAATGATAAGTAGTCCTAAAGTGGAATATGCTGAAGTTAGGATTGTGCCCCTGCCCCACACCCTCCTTCACTGCTGTGCATGTGCCCCTCTCCACCCCTGCTGTAGCTGCTGGAAGCCCATGGCTGGGCTGCCTTGTGGCCCTACTGCTGCCCCATGCTTGGGCTGGGGCTAAGCCCTGTTAGTCCCCCATTTTGCTGCCTATGAGAAACACTGATATTCATCTTTGTTATTTGTATTTGTGGTAAAACCTGCATGGTAACCATGATTCAAACTCCATCCTCAACATAGCTTTGTGGGTCAAACTGCATCATTTTGTTTGGTCAAAGCATTTGCAATTTACTTCATTTTTTTTTTCCTTCAGCATCTGCACCAACACACATTTTGAAGACATGTCTTGTACCACTGGCTGGTTGGGGTTGCAGGCCTCAAGTCGATCTGTATGAATTCTGAGGGCTCAGTAGATTGAGGCAGTTCCACTAAAAGAGTTCTCTCTTTCCTTTGAGGTAATTTCCTCTCTTGACAGGTAGGACAGGAAAATGTTCAGTCCTTAACCTCTGTGACAAAAAAAAAGAAAACAGGTCTGATGTGCAGTTCAGTGTCTGCAGGAAGCCTCCTGCTTTGTGAACATGAAAGCACTGTGCTGTTATTTGAAAGCTTCCTAGCAAGACAAACCTGTTACACTCATACAGCAGCAAGTTGGTGGTCAGATCAGGTGTTAATGGTTCTTCAGCTCCACTGAACTTCTCCAGCCCGGGCCTCCTTTGGCATATTTGCTGGCACATCAAGAATAACTGGGGATTCTGATTTGTTCAAGACCAGTCTAAGTCTATTCTCACTGCCCTCATGTGGCTGAGAGCATCTACAACTGTAGTTTGCTTTTCATGTTTATGATGAACTGTAAAGGCCTATTCAGACATGGCCAGTTGTGAATCACTGTGGTCTGTGTACACTGGCAGCGTCTACACGAGATGCTGACTGTGCAGCTGTTACTGCACAGTCATTTAGTACTTGCATATACTGCTCAGTAACATCACCAAACAGATTTTTGGTGACACTGACTGGCAGTAGCTCATTACTACTGCGCAATAGCTTGTAACTACTGTGCAGTAGCTTTGTGCCACACAACACTCCTATGCAGGAGTAACGAGCTCCTGTGCAATAATAATGAGTTCTTGTGCAGTAGTAACAAGCTACTGCATGGTCAGCATCTTGTGTAGACACAGCCACTGTGTATAACAAGTAGAGCTGGAAAATGAGCCTTGAGGGCCCCCAGAATAACCAGACACTCCAATTTTGTACTGAATACTTGATTTTCTCTCTCATTTCATTTTCATCTCTGAATGTATGTAGTCTGTGTCTACTAAGCTTATTGATCTGTTCAAGTGCAAATCCAACAGAAACTTTGAAACATCACAGATTGCCACAAATGGACAGGCTGGATTTAGTTATGTAAGTACAACTTAGTTCAGATGTCCTTCCCTCAGTTGTTCAAGAGCTTTTGGAGTTCCACTGTCCAAAATTATCTTTCCTTATCTGGTACAACTGGGTATACAAATCTGTAGAATCTGTAGAAGCCTACAAACTGCTGTACCTTCTTTTGGTTTGCTGAACTTTCCAGTCTCTTATAAGGTTAGGTACCTGGGGCTGATGTTCCAACCTATCTCACAATAGTCCCAAATTCTATAACCATTTCTGCACCTAAATAGCATTTACCGAGCTACATCAGTGCCGTTTTTGGCACTTATGCACAGTTCCTGATTCTTTTACCTGTGCAGTATGGATATAGAAGCATCTGCACAGCTACTGTGCATGCTCAGCAGACTACATGCTGGCCTAGTAGGTATGTGGCTGCATATATGTGTACGCTGGGCATGCATAAAACACAACAATCTGCCGAGAAAAAGCCCATGGCCTGTTCCATGTTTTAGTCCCAATAATTGAGTAGTTAGGGCTTATATCTGGGAAGCAGAAGACTGGGGGTGGGGGAAGTGTACTGGTGGGGGGAGTTGAACAGAATCTCTCTGACTTCCCAGTATAGTGCTTAAACTATTAGACCATAGATTAGGCATTATTCATGCCCTTCTTGAGCCCTCCTTAAGAAGCTGACCCCTGGCCAGCCAAGAGAGGGAAATGTTAGACTTGGAGGAAGCAAAGATGTTAGAGAATGTGTGGTTTAGTGAGGTGGCTATGGAACGGTGACATTTGGAGTCTTGCTCCCATAGAGGCGGAAACATCCTAACCATTCTCCATCCTTTTTATTCAGTGACTGTTATATGCAAGTTGAAGCAGCTGGCCACTGCTAACCTGTTAAAGCACTCTGCTGGGAAGCCTGAGAGCATGAATGGCACCTGCCCCGGTGGCTGGTGGGGCACGGTTGTGCCGGCGGCAGCCCAGCGGTGGGAATCAGGGAGCTTCCACAGATGCTGCTGGCGCTGTTGGCAGGGGGGGGTGGTGGTGCGCAGGCGTGATCAGGGACCGCCCACAGATGCTGCCGGCAGTGCCGGCGGTGGGGTGGCAAGCGGTGACTGACCACGGCACCTTTTTGCAGGGAGTGCACCACCACACGTAGGGGCTGCACGTGCACCCGTGTGCACCCCCTATGCATTGCTTCTGCCTGTGAGATACAGATTCAAATGCCCTCTGGGTAGGTGGGGCCTAGAATATGCATCTCCTGATTCTTAGACAAGTATCCTAACTACTCAGTTGGCAGGATTAAAACAGAAGGAGATCCTTCTTTTGTTTGTCTCCAGGATTCATGCCTAGTTATATGTGTAGATAGGCATGTAGGTGTCTGGATAATGCATAGCCTCCTGAGCATGCTTAGGATGCATATAGACACTTACCTGCATGGGTAATAGAATTGCAACCTGGGTATAAGTGCCATTTAGGCACATAAAACATAATAGAATTCTGCCTTGTGTGTTCCAGGAAGGTGAGGGAATTCCTTACAACTGGGGAAATGTCAAGTTTAAACTTTGGTTCCTTCAACAGCTTTACAGTCTCTTCCATTCCTCCCATCTGCTCCTGACACATTTTATGGAAATAAATGAAGCATGAACAGCACATGCCCCCAGTGGCTGGGGGGGGCAGGGCGGCGACGGGAATATGGCAGCGGTGAGTGGGGAGCTCTTGCAAACGTCACCAGCACTGTCGGTGGTAGGGAGGGGAGGGTTGGCAAGCACTGACCATGGGTTGGCGGCCACGGCCACCTGCAGGCACTGCCAGCAGTGGCGGCGGCGGCCAGGGGTGATCATAGACCGCCCACAGACTGTGGTGAGTGGTGACTGCCTGCAAGCGCCGCTGACACTGTCGGCGGCGCCTTTTTGCAAGGGCTGCACTGCCATGCACAGAGGGTGCACAAGTACCCGCATGCACCCCTTACGTGTCGCCCCTGAAATGAAGCCTTCTAAATACTTAAGGATGTCCTCAGTTCTCAAAACTTGGGCAAGATTATTTACTACTTGCTGGAATATGCCCAGTGTATGTGTGACACCAAAAGACATCCTGCAGTTGCTTACTAGTCTGCAGGGACTAACCACGTGACCAGCTTGATCTTTCAGTGCTGTAATCTGATGGTATCCAAGTAAGAAATCAAAACTACTAATATATGTTGCTATTAACATTTTATCCAGGTATCTGCAATATTACTAGTTATTACTTTTTATCTGTTGTTAATTTAAAAAAAATAAAAGCTATTCTGAACTGTCAGTGACTTAACTTTCCTGTAGTCAAAGCTTATAACATAGCGCAGGGGCGGGCAATTATTTTGGGTGGAGGGCCGCTTACTGACTTTTGGCAAGCCATCGAGGGGCACATGACAGGTAGCCAGGGGCAGATAAATATTAATTTTCTAAATTTTTTAGGGGTTCCGCAGGCTGGATGGAATGGCCTGGCGGGCTGCATCTGGCCCGTGGGCCAAATTTTGCCCACCCATGCCATAGCGTGTGTTTTCTTACAGGCTTTCTTACAGTTACAGTTGTGGATGTCCAAAGTGAGCTAGATTGCACCATTCTCCACCACCCAATTTAGCTTCTTTGTCTTTGTTACTTGGATCTTTGAAAACTCTTGGCGCTCTGGTGTAGTGCCCGAAGACTGGAAGAAGGCCAATGTGGTGCCTATCTTCAAGAAAGGGAGGAAAGTGGATCCGGCTAACTATAGGCCCATCAGCCTGACTTCTATCCCGGGGAAGATCTTAGACAAGTTTATTAAAGAGGCCATCCTTAATGGACTGGCCAACGCCAACATCTTAAGGGATAGCCAGCACGGGTTTGTTGCGGGTAGGTCTTGCTTGACCAATCTCATTTCCTTCTACGACCAGGTGACCTATCACCTGGACAAGGGAGAAGAGATTGATGTCATATATCTTGACTTCAGAAAAGCCTTTGATCTGGTGTCCCATGATCGCCTCTTGGAGAAACTGGCCAATTGTCGCCTTGGGTCCTCCACGATCGCTGGCTGGAAAATTGGCTCCGGGGTCAGACCCAGAGGGTAGTAATCGATGGAAGTCACTCATCGTGGTGTCCTGTGACCAGTGGGGTCCCCCAAGGCTCTGTCCTTGGACCCATACTGTTCAACATCTTCATTAATGATGTGGACACTGGAGTCAAAAGCGGACTGGCCAAGTTCGCCGATGACACCAAACTTTGGGGCAAAGCATCCACACCAGAAGACAGGCAGGTTATCCAGGCTGACCTGGACAGGCTCAGCAAGTGGGCAGACAAGAATCTGATGGTGTTCAACGCCGATAAATGCAAGGTTCTCCACCTTGGGAAAAAAAACCCGCAGCATCCTTATAGGCTCGGCAGTGCTATGTTGGCTAGCACTATGGAAGAAAGAGACTTGGGGGTCATCATTGACCAAAAGATGAACATGAGCCTGCAATGCGATGCGGCGGCTAGTAAAGCGACCAAAACGCTGGCTTGCATCCATAGATGCTTCTCAAGCAAATCCCGGGACGTCATTCTCCCCCTGTACTCGGCCTTAGTGAGGCCGCAGCTGGAGTACTGTGTCCAGTTTTGGGCTCCACAATTCAAAAAGGATGTGGAGAAGCTTGAGAGAGTCCAGAGAAGAGCCACGCGCATGATCAGAGGTCAGGGAAGCAGACCCTACGATGACAGGCTGAGAGCCCTGGGGCTCTTTAGCCTGAAAAAGCGCAGGCTCAGGGGTGATCTGATGGCCACCTACAAGTTTATCAGGGGTGACCACCAGCATCTGGGGGAACGTTTGTTCACCAGAGCGCCCCAAGGGATGACGAGGTCGAATGGTCACAAACTACTTCAAGATCGTTTCAGGCTGGACATAAGGAAGAACTTCTTTACTGTCCGAGCCCCCAAGGTCTGGAACAGCCTGCCACCGGAGGTGGTTCAAGCGCCTTCATTGAACACCTTCAAGATGAAACTGGATGCTTATCTTGCTGGGATCCTATGACCCCAGCTGACTTCCTGCCCTTTGGGCGGGGGGCTGGATTCGATGATCTTCCGAGGTCCCTTCCAGCCCTGATGTCTATGAAATCTATGAAATCTATGATATTCCAGGAACATTTGACATGGGAGAACACTTCCTAGTTTACGCACATTCCAGTGCTTCACTGTATCACATCTCCCAAGCTCCTCATTATCCTTGCAGAACATGCTAGTGTACCATAAGAACAACTGCTTTAATCACTAACTTTCTTTTCCTTCTCTGATAAAGTTTAAGTCAAGCCCCAGCACTTTTGCTGACTGGGCACCTTCGTAACCCTAACACTGGTCTGTGTGAGTAGCTTTGAGACATCGGCTGCGGTGGGCAATCCTCTTTCCATAATCTGATTTTTCTCTAGGTGCACCTTCTGGTCAGTTCTATTACTTTATTTTCCTGCATGCAACACACACCTTTTTATCCAAAGATCAGACCCCCAAAATTGGGGTGCATGTAGTAAGCAGGGAAGCTAATCTTCCATCTGGGATAGAAGCATCTTACTTTGATTCCCGCTTCGCAGTGCAGCAGCTGTGGCATTACTATTCAGGCAGCTGAGAGAGTCCATTGACTTTAATGGCTAATTGTCTTCATTCTACAGGTGTTAATGGCCATTTCTCTGTTTTAATGGTTTTGATGTTCCAATAAACAAACCAAGTTTTCTTAGGGAAAATGTTGCTGTCTGCTAGCTGCTTTTGGTCTCTGTCCTCCTGTTTCACAGGTCTGGAGACTCCTTGGCTCTTTCCAAATCATAGATCCACCCATGGAGACCAGTTTTCAGCAGCTAGAATTTCAGCTTCAGTTAAGCAGGAAAGGGAGGGTGAGTCAGATGAAGATTAGGTTCTGTCCCTGTTTTTTGCAGCCATAAAAATCTGTTCTTTATCTTTGGTTCCACCTTTGAAAAATGAAGTGCATGTTATATTCCAGGGCATGTTGTATACAAGAAAGTACAGCAATTGCTCTTTCCCAGAGGTCATTATTTATTTAGTCTAAAACAGAGTTTTGCAAACCAGTAATCCTGCCTGGATGTTTGTGACCCCAAAGAATCCTTATAGATTCACTGCAACAATTTTTCTCTGCAGGGATATTATTGCATGATGACATGGTTTCATCACAACTTTATTACAATTTACCTCTGTCAATCAGTGCAGGCACCTTTAGGTGGGGGCATGACAAGCCAAACTGGCACCTGGGGCAATCTGAGGGAGAG